GGAAAATTTAAGCAAGTTAGCAGCAATATCTCTTCACTTGTATGGCAGAATCAGGGTTTTGCACACATAAAATTCATGTAAATATCTACCTGTGTGCAAAGTTTCAGTTCTTAAAATTAAAAAATGGCGGAGTTGTGAATTTTTAAAGAAAACGTCAAATTTTCCAGTTTTTCCGGATTTTCTCCAGATTGTAATTATCCGATCAGATCATTCGACCTCAAATTATCTTCGTAATTTCATTCTCTACGATTCATCCATTGACAACATTAAGATTCTTCAGTAGTTTCCATTTTATAAGAAAAAAAATTTAAAAAATGCAAATTTTTGTTGAAAATTGTTAATAACAAATTTAAGATTATGATCCGCGAGTTGAAAAGTGTGCAGAATTCATCTACTAATTGTCCTTTACATAATCGCACAATCAGTTTCCAGGTAGTTTTTATGTCATGAGGAAATGTTTTATTGCTTGGCCTAGTACATCAATTAATTGTAATTATTGAGTATTTTTATAAAATCCTCGACAAAACGAGAAAAGTTATAATCTAATTTTTACGTGGATGCCCATGTTTCCCATGATCCTGCATAATATTAAAGGAATCCTTGTATATCAACATTTTTATAGTTTAGATGGATTTTCTTGTTGTATCATTGTCTTACTAAAAGTACTATTTCTTATCTATAAAACGCCAGCCTTAACAAAATTGCAATAAAATTAAATACAAGCATTAAAAAAAGTTGTTGGTAATGTAATACAAATTATAGTTAGTCGTATTTTCTATGTAAATTATAATCGACATTGTATAAATTTTGTATAATTTTTCATATTGTTTAAATTGTGTAAATTTTTAGTATGATTTTTTCTGCGTGAAAGATACCTTTTTACACCAAGAGAAAGAAAAAATGCTTTATCTTTAATTTGTTATAGAAACTACAACTAGTTATGAATTTCCTTTACCTAATTTCAATGAAATAAATGCAAACAGAATAATTCCTTTTATTTCGGCTTGCTCTTGAGCAAACCAAAGCAGGCATTCTTAAGCACCGGAATTGAAAACTAACATCGATTGCCATTATATTTAAAATTAGTCACAAGGGGCCATATCCTCGTAGGTCCGTATTCTTAGACGTGGGAAATTAGACAAATAACAGAGTCTCTTGAGATGGTTGTATTCTATATATTCTTTAAAATGCGCTCTGTTAATTTGAGAAACACAATTAGCCAATTTCCTGTTGTCAAGATTCGTCATTTCGAACGATTCACTGTTTAATTTGTCTTGTCCCCAAACAGAACATACCTGAAATATATCGAATTTTCGATATTTTTTATGTACAGGGTGATTCACAAACGGTGACCAAAAGTGAAACCTCGTATTCTTTGATGAATTGTAAGGGGAGTCTTTCGTATAAAGTTTTTATTTTTTTTTAATAATTTAAGGAAGTAAAATAATTTAAAATTTGGCATATTACGTAAACATTGTCCAAAATCTGAAGCCTTTTACTAAAATTTAGATGCTCCGGTGGCGAGATACAGGCAATCGGTAGCATATTTTTCTAAACAAAACGTTACGCCACTGCTTTACGGCAACAATCATGATATTTTCGAATACGTCTTTCAATTTTCTACAAACTACTACTTTCTTATGTTTTTCTAAAAAAAGCCTGATTTTCGAGTAAAACTTAAAAAACGAACTATACTATGAATCTCTAGCTTTTTGTATTGATTTAATTAATTTCACAAAAATTTTATATTCAAAGTGTTGCAGAAGTGAGTATAAAAGTTTATCGGATGATAAAATATCAAAAAATAAAACCATATTTTGTTTTTAAGATAGTCATTTTTTTCGAAAAAAACAATGTAATTGATTGATATTTGATACAGGTAAGTTTGTAACTGTGTTGTTTGTTTTTGGACATCTGCTAGAGTAACATTTTAAAACATAATATTTTGAGGTTATGTATTGTATTAAAAAGTAAAATATCATTTTACTATTATTAAAATTGCTGAAAATGCATTGTTTTTGAGTAAAATGCAACTGGCTGTCCTTAATATATAAAATGTCAGCACATGAATGGAAATACTTCAAGGGTATTTTCTTTGGATGAAAATAAATCAGTTCATATCAATTTACCTCGCATTTTCCTGCAACATTCTGTATAATTTTATGTCATTTATCTAAATTAAAATATAATAAATCGAAATTTAAAAAAGTCATGACAAGAAAGTGTAATTTTTTCAAACTTTAATTACAAAAATAACGATTAAACACAGACGTAATTCATTCATGAATTATTTCACATATTCCGAGAAATAAATGCCAATATTTTAATCACGTATTCAACTCATGAAAAGTAATAACTTTCGTCTAATATTTTTCTCGAAAATTTTTGTTACCAGCGACTGTAGTATAGCAATTGAATTAATAATAGAAAAAATGATGCACAAAACAAAGAAACTAATTAGTATATTAATATTTAACTTTACAATAACCTTTCAGATGGTGACTCATTCCATAAAATATTCGCAAATTTTACATATACAGGGCATGTCATTAATAATGGTACGCAGCTTAATGGCAGATTGTTAACGTCAAAATATAGTGATTTAGCCAAACATGCCTTAATCAATTGTTGCTTCTTTTCGTTCTACAGGGTGTTAAAGTTGAAAAAATATTTTCGATTTTTTGCTATATTTTAAGTACGTATGAACCAATTGTTTTGAAAATTTGTAGTTTAACATTTGTTGAGGTGGCAAATACGAATATGCAAATAGTGTTGGGGTCACGTCTAGGGGGCTCTAGTTATACTGCCCTGTCAATTTAAAAATATGTCTAACTTTTTGTATTTTACAATTTTGAATTTTTTAAGTAGAAAATATTAACAATCTGTTAAGATCTGTACCATTATTAATGACTCACCCTGTATATTTCTTTCAGACAAAAGTCTTGTCAATGTTATTTTAATTACATAAAACGGGTTTTCAAAAATTGATTAGACAAAATTTGTTTTTTTTTAATCAAGTAAATTCGTGGATTATAAGAAGAGATATTTTTTATTTTTGCTACACTGAAAGTAAAAATAAATAAGATAACCAAAAAGGTCAAAGTCAAGTGTTGATTTTATAAATTCAGTTTTACCCGACTAGAAATATCTTACACTGAGGAAATGGATACCTATTTCTATTAAACAAAACTAAATTTATAAAATGAATATCTTAACTGATCCTTTAGTCCAATTAAATGAGCCTTTAAATCACAATTTGGTCAACTTGCCTTAATTTTTGATATGTCAGTTTGAGGTATATAATAATAACAAATGACAATTATTTTTTTTTTCAACCCCCGGCCAGGGGTGAAAAAAGATAAAATAAAGGGCTTTTTCCAGATAACTCAAAAGCTAGAAAAAAAGTTTCTTATAAAAGTTGTAGAGCATAAAATTCTACATAAAAATGGTCTATAAACTTTTCCTTGTACTATTAAAATTAACAGAGTTAGGATGGCTAGAAGTTAAGGGATGAATTCAGAAATTTAAAAAATCATAACAAGCAGAAAAATTAATTAATTTAATTTTTTCTCTACTCTACCATACTCTAAAAAATGTAAGCTTTCTTTTCAGAAAAATAGATATATTTTTTAATTTTTATTAAAAACGTTATAACAATTTCAATTTTTTAATCGTTAATTTTTAGCATTTTTTTTCTATGCCGTTATTTAAAATAATGAAAAGTTGCTTTCAAAATTTTGTTTTACGATAAAGATAAAGATAAAAAAAGTTACGTTCGTTTTGTGAAATTGTTATAACTATTTTATTAAAACTTTGCCTTTTTTAGAGTAGACTGAAAAAAATATTATAAAATTCAAAAATTTTTTTGCTTGTTATGATTTTTTAAATTTCTGAAATCATCCCTTAACTTCTAGTCTCCCTAACGTTAATTTTTATAGTACAAGAAAAAGTCAATAGAACATTTTTATGTTTAATTTTTTGTTCTACAATTTTTATAAGAAAGCCATCCTAACTCTGTTAATTTTAATAGTACAAGGAAAAGTTTATAGACCATTTTTATGTAGAATTCTATGCTCTACAACTTTTATAAGAAACTTTTTTTTCTAGCTTTTGAGTTATCTGGAAAAAGCCCTTTATTTTATCTTTTTTCACCCCTGGCTGGGGATTGAAACAAAAATTACTGTCATTTGTTATTATTATATATCTCAAACTAACTTATATCAAAAGTTCAGGCAAGTTGACCAAAATTGCTATTTAAAGGCCAATTTAATTGGACTACTTTTGTTTATTTTCTTTTTTTTTCAGTGTAGTAAAAATACCAATTAAAAGAAATTAATACAATACAAAGAATATCGATGTAAAATACAACAATAATAGATTTTGTTCCGGTCAAATATATCTAAAAATATTCATACATAAATATTTCACTTGCTAATGAATTCATGAAACAACTTGAACAATGAAATTTAGAAAGCTTTAATTTTTTTCATTTTAGTGTATGAGTATTATTTTTAAAATTCAACTTGTAAAATATGTTTCACTTGATTAATAAATAAATAAATAAATAAAATAATAATAATAATAGATAAAATAATAATTAATTAATTATTGATATACTTTTTATAATTGTCATACAATATGTCTTTATCGACAAGGGCAAAGTAAAAGAAAACAATATATTTTCCAAAATATTTATTAACTTAACATAGGCTTTTGGCACATATTATCTACACTAATATTTATTTGGTGTCACAGCTTCATAGAACCACTAAATATATACAAATTCAAGATGTCAATCTCTTTAGAAGTCTACAGGATACTATAGTAAAGTTAAAAACTAATTAACGACATTATATACATGATAAATTTAATTTATACACAAAAACTAAAATCTATGCTAGAAAAACTTTAATACTGATACCTTATTTAGTTACAAATCTAGATAACAGAACACTTTGGCTTTGGAAATGGCAGGGAGAAACAACAAAAAAGAAATAGTTTCACTGCACAGGCTCACGTTGGTCGAGGAGGTCGTACAACGCCGTGATGTAGGTCTGTGCCATTTGCAGGGTCTCGTACTTGGATAACTGCCTGTCCTGGCCCAGCTGAGGAAGAAAAGTTCTTAGTCGATCAAAGGCTTGGTTCAAATTCTGCATTCGACGCCTTTCCCTGGCGTTGGCCGCTAGGCGCCTCTTCCTCAGGATTACAGGCGTCACTCGACTCTTATTCCTTGCCAAAGACTCGGGACTTGCAGTCTTGTAGTTGTCCTCGGAGTAGCTGTCGTAGCTGCACGTGGAGGACGACCCCCAGTTGGCGGGGACATTCTGCGGAGGGGCTGCCAGCATGTACATGTAGCCGTAGGTCTCCGAATAAGTTTCCATTTTCGAAATGCCCAGCAAACGCGTAAACTGAAGGCGACGTCTGGAAAAACAACTAACACCACCGAACGATGATTTGGGTCTGATCAGTCGGGCTACCTGTTGGCTTTTTATAGTGGATGGCTACCCCTCGGTACAGTGTAAGGCCCTTTGTGCTAAGTACCGCCCCGGTAGCGCGTGCCGGTCGGCCAATGGGCATTTTTGGGTACGGCGAAGGGTTTCGGTACAGTCTGCCTCTAAAAGCGGCCGGATGGAATTATTTTCAAGTGCGGATTCCCTAATTCAAATTAGTTGATATGAATGTCTGAGTTTATCGTCGCAATTTTGTACAGAATTTATGGTAAATGTATGTGGTTCATAATATAGGTACCTGCTTTTAAAACTAAAAGGAAAAAATACAGGGTGATTCACAAATGGTGACCAAAAATGAAACCTCGTATTCTTCGGTGAATTTTAAGTGGTCTTTCCTATATAGTTTTTATCTAGAACGCTTCGTTAAAAAGATACAGGGTGTTAAACTTAAAATAATATTTTTAATAGTCTTGGGGTGTAAGATCTGGGGATCTCGCGGGACATTCTATCGGTCCTCGTCTGCCGATCCACCTCCTAGGAAAACAATTGTCCAGAAAATCTCGAACAGAGCGCGTATAGTACGGAGGTGCACCGTCTTGCTAAAACCATATGGTGTCATCAGGAATATCAGGGTCATTATCGTTAGGAAAAATTACTGCAAGCGCTGGAACAAGGTCATTTTGTAAAAACTCTAAATATCTTTCTCCTGTAAGGGTTCCTTCAAAGAAGAAAGGCCCTACTATTCTGTTGTCAACTATTCCAGCCCACACATTTAATTTCTGTGGGTGTTGGGTATGTGTCTCTGCCATCCAATGAGGATTTTCCCGACTCCAATACCTGCAAGTTTGACGGTTCACTGTACCATTGAGACAAAATGTGGCCTCGTCTGAAAAAAGTATTTGCCGATGTAAATCTCTATTTACTTGACATAAATCCAACATAATATCACAAAAGTGTAAGCGGCGCCGGCGGTCAGGATCGTCTTCATTGAGTTCCTGCAAGTTGAATTTTGTAGGGATGATATTTTTCCTGCCTCAGGATACGTAGCACTGTGGTCTGACTAATTTTATTGTTTAACGCAACCAATCGTGAAGTATTATTATGCAATCAATCGTCGTTTACTCGAAAACTTTCCTATGTAAGATGGCAATATTTTAATACTGTCGGATCGACAATGAAACGATCTTTCAGAATCAGGGAAAAAAATAGGAGGTTGCTATTTAAAAAAAAGGTCGATGACGTCATTACTCGAAAACAAATGACGGTTGAAAATCGCCTTTTCTGCTAAAATATATATTTTTTAAATTAAAAATCGACCTGTTCGAGGATTTTTCCCAAAAAAAATTTGTTTCGATTTTACTGAATTTATTCCATACTTTAGGTGCGTACTATATATTTATGTAATCATTGTCCAAAATCTGAGGGCATTTCCTAAAATTTACATATTCCACTGGCGGAGATACAGGGTATCGCTGGCATATTTTTCTAAATAAAATAGTACGCCACTGCTTTACGGTAACAACCATGGTATTTTCGGATGCGTCTTTCAATTTTCTACAAATTACTACCCTTTTATGTTTTTCGAAAAAAGCCTGATTTTCAAGTAAAACTTAAAAAACGAAAAAAAAATATGAATTAATCTACCCTTCCATTTAAAAAAAAGTTGCATAATTAAAAAGAATTAACAAACCTTTTTGTTATATGCTCCATTGAAAATAAAAGTTGACGTGTTTCGGGAATTTTGCGACAAACCTTTATTTATTAAGTTACAGAATTTGTTCCAGTTAAACTTTTCACTCTTTATTGTCAGCTTTTGCTACCATATCACTGTCAAAAGTGTTTAGAATTCTTTTTAAATGTTTAAAAATTTTCTAAAAATTGTTTTAGGGTACTGAATAAATATGTACCACAAAATATTACACATACAAATTTTATTTAAACAATGGTTATAATAATTAAAGTTACACAAGCAACAAACAAAAATGTTGGAAGAAAATAGTGTACTCTTCAAATAAAAAACAAACAGCATTCAAGTCTAGTCAATAAACGAATTTCTTATGTCTTTACATGTCACATATAAAAAAACTTGGGAACGTATTAATATCTTAAAGTTTTTGGATCAAACCCATTTACTGTAATTTGTTTTGTACAACTTTATTCACAGGATGAGTACCAACAACACCAGTTAACACATCTTCTTATGTGACAAAACTAAAGCTAATCTAATGCAACAAAAACATCATATAAGCTACAAGTATAACAAATAATTGTTACTGAGTTTATCAAGATCAGATCTATCTCAATATATTTATTAAAAGCTTATATAAATAATTTTTAAGTAGAAGTAATATTGTAGTAAAGTCTGTTGAAAAAAAAAACTATTGTATTAATAGTAATACTTCAAACAAATAAAAAAAAAACAAACAATGAAACTATATTTTAATCATGTATTTATATTTACAACTTTGTCCCAATAAATTGGTCAAGAATGCGATAGAACTGGTTCTAATTTATTGGCCTAGTTTATGTTATTTTTAGTGTTTTGGTACGTAGTAATAATTTTAATTACATTCTACAATTAATTGTAACACTTAATTTATTTTAAATATTTAAAAATAGATGACAGAAATAAGGTAAAGTTAAATGAAGTAGCGCAATCAGTACCTACCTTGATAATATTGAGCCAAAAATATGATAACTGTGTCAAATATACCTTGCTCCAAAGTTACTTCGTTTTCAAGTCACAGGGTGTTGAAGTTTCACAAATACGCAAATATTTCCAGAGATATTTCGATATGTTTGTCTATTTGACTATCAAGGTAGTGCTCCCTCCTTTAAAAGTATCCTGTATAGTGAATTTCAATTATGGTTTATTGTTATCGTGATTAATTTTTATTGTAAAAGTTGGCTACCTTAAATTTTGATCAATTCAAATCTCACGAAAATGTTTAATTCGTATTTGAATATATTGTAGATATACCTACAGAATTTTTTTAAATTTTTCTGTGTCAGTTTAACAATAGAATGTTTATTACTGTCTTAAAGCAGGTTTACAACATTTACAAAACATATTGTATGAACTAAAACAATATCATCATAAAGTGATAACAAATAAAGTATATTGTATATAAAAGAACTGGATTATTAAAAATAAAAGTATGAAATATCTCTAACTAAACACCTCATTGTGAAACTGAAATTATAGCGATTGGCCACAGCTCATTTTTTGCAGTTTTGCCATTAATTTTATAAAATTTTTGGTTTATTTCGATTTGAAATAATGGTTTGCCAAACGATTTGCACACCACTTATTACATTACATTACAGACAGGTTATTGGAATAAGGTCAATTTAATTAAGTAAATAATTCGACTAGTGTCTACTGACAGTTAAATTTGCATTTCGTCTGTTATTAAAAGGCACCAGTATTGTTTCCAAATATCAAAATTTGGCAAGAAGATTACTATATCAATTTAATTCGTCTCGTTATTTTGTTATTTTATTAGGCCATTACCATTGTAACTTTTAATCTGTTTCAATGGGTGTTACGTCTGTTTGTTCAGGCTGCATTTGAATTAACCCTCGAACTTCCAATTAAAAAATGAACGCATTAGTTAACATTAAACTTATTATGTTTTTTTAATTACCATATAAAAAAGATCACTCGTGCTAAGTCCACGATAATTTACGTCAATTCGACTTTTTACTACACTACTACAAGATGAAGGGAGTGGGCCCTTTTTTTGTATCGGCCTGTCATATGGTGTAAGGTAATACGAGTAAACAAATTGGGTCCGGGCACAGGTACACTCCAGAAGAAAAGTATGCTCCTTGAAACGCAATGGTTATAAGGTAGTAAGTTAGGAAGGAGTAAGTTTGATACCAAAAATCTAATTATGCAAGAAAGAACTAAACTGGTGATAACATTAAATGATCTAGTAGGTAATCAATAATTATGTAAAATAAAATTTATATACCTACACTGATAAAAAATGTAGACATCCACATAGGCTTTTTTTATATATTTGTAATGGGTTTTATACACAAAATATGTAAATTTTACATTTTAAAATGTATTATTCCTAATTTTTTATGTGTTTTTACTATATTTGATATAAATATACGAAACAAAGTGTGAACTTACATGACCTAATTTGACTCAACCAATCAGATTAATCAATCAACCCGGGGTGTGTGTGTGTGTGTGTGTGTATGTGTAGAGAAATATTCTAGTTGTCCAATAGGCAGGTTTAGATTCATTTGTGGCGTAATAATATAGCCCAGCGTTTTACCTACCTAAATATAATGTAAGTAATTACTGCGATAAGTAAACAGTATCACTTTTTGTAAATTATATAAAGCTCTCGGTATATCTTCATTTATAGTCGAATATTATGAAAAACATCAATAATAACCACATTGAACTTTGCTTAACCTTTACGCACAGGCGTCCAGATTGTAGCTTACTAGTTAAGACCTATTTTACTTATTGTTTTACTTAACAATAGGTATATTTTGTTTTCAGTTTAATGTTCTCAAGTAGCTATTGCTCTCGAAATGGTTCAAAGATTCTACCTCAAAATTAAGCTGGACGCGACAACTAGGGCAAAATTGTATCCAGAAAAAGTCTTCGTATAAATGAAAGTAGCTGTAAAACTTTTCCCAAGAAAAATTAGAAATTAATTTAATGGAAGAAAATGTATCTAATTTGTCTTAGATACGTACATATTGTTTACTTAATTAGTTTTTATTGTTAAAAGAAGTCTAAGATTAATTCAAGCTTTATACGGTTTTCCATAGTATGAAAACGTACATATTTGTTAGATCATTTTGAAATTTAAACATTGAAAACGTCACTAAAAAAGGTGAGTAATATTAAATATATGTATATGCTTTGGCCTTTAAATAAGTAGGAAGTTTTTACATAGATT